GTTACTCACCTACCACACATGTGATGTCACACATGTGATTCACACTTATCCACAGTATCCACTGTTGATTTCACACATATTCACACATGTTTTCACACATTATCACTCAATTGATCACACATTATTCCACACTTATCCATTATCACTCTTATAACACAGTTTATCCACTCACTATTATTCACACATGTAGTCCACATTAATTCCACACTCTTCTCCAAAACAAACAACTCTCTACTTACTACAGTTCTTACACACTCAATCAAACCCTTACAACATCGGAGAATTCTCCTCCTAAACACAATTAAAAGCTCCTTTCAAACCAAAAGACCAAAGAGACCAAATAAACCAAAACCAAAACCAAAACCAGAAACCACAAACCCAAACCAAGTACTAAATCAAAATCCAAACCTAACACCAAAGAACCAAGAGAGACAAAAGACCAAAACCAAAAACCCAAAAACAAAACAAAAACCAGAATAACTAAAAACCCAAAGAGAACCAGAATAAACCAGTAAACCAAAGAATCCCTATAAAACAGTAGAACCAAGAAAACCAAATAGAACCACAATAATAATTTTCTAAAAGACCCAAAAAGACCAAAGAAAGACCAGAAACCAAGAAACCAAAATAAACCAAAGAGAGACCAAATAATACCAATAAACCAGAAAACCAAAAAACCAAAACCAAATAACCAAGAGAGAACCACTAAACAAAAAAACCAAAACCAACAAAGAAACCAAAAAAAAAACAAAACCATAAACCAAGAGAAGCAAAATATGGTTTTTCCCAATTTCTTTCTAATTTGATCTCCTCATTCTCATATAATAATGTGCCTTGCTTGTAAATGCATATAGATAAATTCCTTCTGTTAATGCTATATAATAAATTCCTTGCTTTAAATCTATATAATAATTTCCTGCTGTAAATTCAATAATAAATCCTTGACGGTGAAATCATATAATAAATTCCTCTTTGATTTTATTTTATAAATTCCTGCTTGTAAAGTCAATATTAAATCTTCTTTAAAAGTCTATATAATTAAATTCCTTGGATTTAAATATATATCTGTTATTCCTATTTAAAGCTATATAAAAACCTTATTTGAATTTTAATAAAACTTCTGTTAAAGTGCATATAATAAATGTCCTCGTTAATTTTATTAATAAATTCCTTCTGTATATCATATAATAAATAAATGTCCTTCTGTAAATCTATAAATAAATGCAATTCTTTAAAGGCATAGAATAAATGTCCTTCTTGAAGTCATATAATAAATTCCTTCTTTAAAGCATATATTAAATCTTCTTATAGTCTATAATAAAAATCTCTGGTGAAAGAGAGTATTAATTCTTCTTTGGTAAATCTATATAAGATATATTGCCTTGACTGTGTAAGGTGACTTCCTTCCTTCCACTTTGCATTTTCGATGTAACAACAGCCCTTGACTCTTAACCCTCTACACTTCGTTCTTCCTTTTACACCCTTTCCAACTACCACGCCCCCATCACCACTCAAAACCTCAACCATCATCTTCATTCACACAACGTAAACTATTCTTTCCACCACTTACTCATTTCTTTCTATTATCTTTTGCTCCATTACTCCTAAACTGAGCTAACTCCTTTTCAATACACTATTTTGACTGATTACTGTGACAAAAAAAAGCACCAATCGTTAAATTACATTTACCCTAGCTTTACATTACCTAGCTTTACCATCTCCTTCCATAACACCCGTATTAGCCCCAACATCTTGCACCACATACTAAACTTCCCTCTCCGCTTCATTTCTCATATTTGATTGAACCATAACAGATTATTTTTACTATCGCCTTCACCACAAATTCTACAATCTACATAATTCAGCACAAACCTATTACTCACCACACCCACCTACAACACCCCCTCCCCAAACCCCCACTCACACTGTCGAATTCAACCCGAGAAACTTCAGCCACTAATCAACCCAACTACATGTAAATATCAACCAAGTTTACACATTCAGACATAACTACATGTAGGAAATTATCATTAACCAGAATTTTACTCAGTAAAACCAGACACATTAGGAAATATTAACCAGATTTCACATGGTAAAACCAGACGAGACAGTATAAATACATGGACCAAGTTTACACATTAAAAACTCAACTACATAGAAAATGAATCATACCAATTACACATTAAGACCAACGACATTAAAATTATACCAATTACACAAATTAAACCAACTAACATTTAAAAACAGACAATTTACACATGTAAGACAGACTACATGTCAAAATGATCATACCTTTTACACAAAACCAACTACATGTAAAATATCATAACAATTTACACATGTAGAAACCAACACATTAGCAAATACATGACCGAAGTTTACACATAAACCAACTACATTAATATGATATACCAAGTTTACACATTAAACCACCTACATATAAAAAACCAACCAATTTACACAGAAGACCAACTACATAGAAATATCATGACCATAGTACTCATGGAAAACCACGTACATTAAAATATCATACCATTTTACACATTAAGACCAGACCTCAGTAAAATATCATTACCATACAACATGTAAACCAGACGTACATAAAAAATAACAATATTAACACATTAACCAGACCAACATTAGTAAAATGACATACCAATTTACACTTGTAAAACAGACTAACATTAAATATCATGCCAATTTACACAGTAAGACCACTACATGTAAAATACATACCAAGTTTACACCAACACATAAACCAACTACATAAAATATATACCAATTTTACACATAAACAGACGAAATATTATTCTTCTCATCACGAACCATAATTCCTTATGAAGTTTCACAAACCAAAATCAACATTTCAAAAAATCGACAGTAATATTTTTTCTTAGAATCTAATTCATATAAGATCCTAATGGCTTATCCTTCATTCCCAATATCTCACACTATCCGCTTGTCTGTGCCTTTATCATCATAAGTTCACATTATGTCTTCTACCTCCTCTTCCACGTACATTACTCCTTTCCAAATATCTGACTCTGAATAATTGTTCAAATCTCATATTTGCTAACTCTACCAAGCATCCACATTTACGTTCCTCTGTTCAATATTCCTCATCTCGCCCACTAGCGCTCCTTTTCACTTTCCCTCCAAATGCCTACCCATCTACATAGAAATTTCCCCACTGTGGGACGAATAAAGGAATTCTTATCTTATCTTATCTTATCTTCAATTTAAACAGGATTCACAAACACTGCACTGGACTCACCGCTCGATGGAACCCCCACATTTGCTCTTCAAGATGCAAAGAGAACGCTTGGAACAGGCCACAGCTTAAATACTCTGGTGAATGGATCCTGTGAGGGAGGTCGAGGATCCTGAGGTATCAAAACAATTTGGTTCCGTAAATTAGTGTAAAAGGTGTTGAACTGGTGCACACTAGGGTAGTCTTGCACAGTTTTTCCAATGTGGTTTTACTGCAAATGGCAAATAAATGAATCTGATCTGATCTGAAATAAAACCATTTAAAAGCCCACTGCCTAAGCCTAAATTTGAGCACACGCCTATTTTGGTTTAAATAATCCGTGCACACTTTCTGTAAATGATCCAAACTTTATTTCACTTCTAAAAAACCACATAAATATGTATTAGTATTATTCAGTCTATAGATGTGGAGAGCTTGTGGAGTCAGACCCCAAAGGACAAAAGAGGGTTCCACAAACTATCACCTCGTGTTGAAAGGCAAGACACTGTGTGTTACTCATGTTTTGTTGTTATTTTGATATTTTGTTGTTATTTTGTTGGTGAAAATTGTCCCACGGGAAAGGTCAGGGTTGATCATCACTTGTATGATTTTGAAAATGGGAAGAAAAATATAAGAATTGTATTCTTCTTTTCTGCTCCTTTCCTCCGTGTAAATGTTTAAGATATTTATTGTAACTATTGTTTTGTGAACAATGAACAAAGCATTTTCATCAAAGGAACAAATAAATAAATACAAAATGCAAAAACCCTCCAGTGTCATGTGGTTTTCTCGTCGGTTTCTTTGCTGCGCTTGAAACATGCTCTTATACTTTTACTTTCATGTGTTTACATCACAGACTGTATATATTATGTTTTATTTACATTTGGGGAAAACTGATTATTTTAATATTTGAGAATGCTACATAACATCTGTTCAAACACAAAAGGACGAGAACTGTTCTTATAACCGTTAATCACAGGTGCTCGAGTATAAAGCCTGTGTCAGAGCGTCCTCTGCAGGACACCTGTGGAACTGACAAATTGCTGTTCTCTCTCTCCATCTTTCTCTATCTCCCACTTTCTCGCTTTCTCTCTCTCTCTATCTCCCTCTTTCAATCTCTCTCTCTCTGTATTTGTCTCTCTCCTGCTCTCTCGCTCTATCCCTCCTCCCTCTCTCTCTCTCTTGCTCTCTCTCTATCCCTCCTCCCTCTCTCTCTCTCTCTCTCCCTCTCTCTCTCTCTCTCTCTTGCTCTCTCTCTATCCCTCCTCCCTCTCTCTCTCTCTTGCTCTCTCTCTATCTCTCCTCCCTCTTTCTCTCTCTCTCTCTTGCTCTCTCTCTATCCCTCCTCCCTCTCTCTCTCTCTCTCTCCCTCTCTCTCTCTCTCTCTCTCTTGCTCTCTCTCTATCCCTCCTCTCTCTCTCTCCTCTCTCCCTCTCTCTCTCTCTCTCTCTCTTGCTCTCTCTCTATCCCTCCTCCCTCTTTCTCTCTCTCTCTCTCTCTCTCTCTCTCTCTCTTGCTCTCTCTCTATCCTCTCCCTCTCTCTCCTCTCTCTCTCTCCTCCTCTCTCTTTCTCTCTCTCCTCTCTCTCTCTCTCTCTCTCTCTTGCTCTCTCTCTATCCCTCCTCCCTCTCTCTCTCTCTCTCTCCCTCTCTCTCTCTCTCTCTCTATCCCTCCTCCCTCTTTCTCGCTCGCTCTCTGAGCCCCGGAACCTTCTATGTGGCGTGTTTGTTTCCTCCGGACCTTCATCCTAATGCACGAAGCCAAGATGGCGGCGGGTCTCCTGCTTGTGGCCGCGCGCTTCCGCGGACTGTTAACCGTGCGCGTGCCCGCCGTGCGCGCGCTGCTGCCAGGTCTGGTCTCGGTCCAGACTCGGACCTTTGCCCTGAACCCGGACCAGGCCCCGAACCAGGACTTAGAGACAAATCCCTTCTATTCCAAATACCGCGAGAAGATCCGAGAATTACGGAGGTCAGTTACTACACAGTCTACGGTCACCCCTCCCCTCTGCGTTGGTTTCCTCCAGGTGCTCCGGTGGAAGGATTGAAATGCATTGAAGCACGAATCTGTGAAGCGTTCTTCATAAACATGACCTCTGTGTTCAGGTCTGCCCCGCAGGAGTTCCAGGCTCGGATGGAGAACAGGTCTGAGCTCAAGAAGGAGCCAGTGGGATTCAGCAGCAAACAGGAAGAGTTCATCCAGCTCCTGTCAGCCCAGGTAGACCAGAGACCAGAGGGAGACCAGAGGGAGACCAGAGGGAGACCAGAGGGAGACCAGAGGGAGACCAGAGAGAGAGACCAGAGGGAGAGACCAGAGGGAGAGACCAGAGGGAGAGACCAGAGGGAGAGACCAGAGGGAGAGACCAGAGGGAGAGACCAGAGGGAGAGACCAGAGGCAGAAACCAGAGGGAGAGACCAGAGGGAGAGACCAGAGGGAGACCAGAGGGAGAGACCAGAGGGAGACCAGAGGGAGACCAGAGAGAGAGACCAGAGGGAGACCAGAGGGAGACCAGAGGGAGACCAGAGGGAGACCAGAGAGAGAGACCAGAGGGAGAGACCAGAGGGAGAGACCAGAGGGAGAGACCAGAGGGAGAGACCAGAGGGAGAGACCAGAGGGAGAGACCAGAGGGAGACCAGAGGGAGAGACCAGAGGGAGAGACCAGAGGGAGAGACCAGAGGGAGAGACCAGAGGGAGAGACCAGAGGGAGACCAGAGGGAGACCAGAGGGAGACCAGAGAGAGAGACCAGAGGGAGAGACCAGAGGGAGAGACCAGAGGGAGAGACCAGAGGGAGAGACCAGAGGGAGAGACCAGAGGGAGAGACCAGAGGGAGACCAGAGGGAGACCAGAGGGAGACCAGAGGGAGACCAGAGGGAGGGACCAGAGGGAGAGACCAGAGGGAGAGACCAGAGGGAGAGACCAGAGGGAGAGACCAGAGGGAGAGACCAGAGGGAGAGACCAGAGGGAGACCAGAGGGAGAGACCAGAGGGAGAGACCAGAGGGAGAGACCAGAGGGAGAGACCAGAGGGAGAGACCAGAGGGAGAGAGACGCACCAGAGGGAGAGACCAGAGGGAGAGACCAGAGGGAGACCAGAGGGAGAGACCAGAGGGAGAGACCAGAGGGAGAGACCAGAGGGAGAGACCAGAGGGAGAGACCAGAGGGAGAGAGACGCACCAGAGATTGTGTTTTGATTACACTTGTTTGAGGTGGTAAAGATTAGGTCTCAAGCTGAGTTAGATGAATATTATAGTATATTATATTATATATTATAATAGTTAGAGGTCTATAATGATATAACAGTACTGTTGTCTTTTCCACAGAAGGGCTCCTCCTCCTCCTCCTCTTCCTCCTCCTCCTCTTCCTCCTCCTCCTCTTCCTCGTCTGGAGTCAGTGGGATAAAAAAGGTAAAACACTTTCTGCTTTGAATTGTTTCATTATTAACAAATATGATCCATGTTTCTGCTCCTCAGACTCTGGACTCCATCCTGAACCTGGACCTGGTCCTGGACAAAACTGGAGCCGAGATCTCACAGGTCAGAGGTCGAGACTCCTGCACAGTACTCGGATACTCCAATACTCGGATACAGAGTACAGCCCTTTAACCTCTGACCTCCTGTTTCAGATCTGGAATGAGTTCTTCTCCAGCAGAGACACCATCAGTGCAGTCATACCAGTGAGTACCTCCTGCTGAGTGTGGAGGAGCACCTCCTGCTGAGTGTGGAGGAGCACCTCCTGCTGAGTGTGGTGGAGCACCTCCTGCTGAGTGTGGTGGAGCACCTCCTGCTGAGTGTGGAGGAGCACCTCCTGCTGAGTGTGGTGGAGCACCTCCTGCTGAGTGTGGAGGAGAACCTCCTGCTGAGTGTGGAGGAGCACCTCCTGCTGAGTGTGGTGGAGCACCTCCTGCTGAGTGTGGAGGAGAACCTCCTGCTGAGTGTGGAGGAGCACCTCCTGCTGAGTGTGGAGGAGCACCTCCTGCTGAGTGTGTTGGAGCACCTCCTGCTGAGTGTGTTGGAGCACCTCCTGCTGAGTGTGGTGGAGCACCTCCTGCTGAGTGTGGAGGAGAACCTCCTGCTGAGTGTGGAGGAGAACCTCCTGCTGAGTGTGGAGGAGCACCTCCTGCTGAGTGTGGAGGAGCACCTCCTGCTGAGTGTGGTGGAGCACCTCCTGCTGAGTGTGGTGGAGCACCTCCTGCTGTCAGCACTAAACACATGTGTTTGATTCAGACGGAGACATTTGAGCGAATTCAGACGAGAGCCGCCTCCTGCCCTACGGTCAGTGCTCCTCCTGCTGGAGATTCACTCCACTCTCCTCTTTCTTCACCTCTCTCTCCTCTTTCCTCCCCTCTCCTCTTTCCTCCTCTCTAACTCCTCCTCTTGCTCCTCCTCCACAGTTCCTCTACGCTCTCCCTCGCTCTGATGGATACGAGTTCTTTGTGGGACAGTGGTCTGGGCCTGAGCTGCACTTCACCTCCCTCATCAACCTGCAGGTAAAGGGAGGGAGGGAGGGAGGAGGGAGGGAGGGAGGAGGAGGAGGACGACCCCCTCATGCTGTGCTCCTCTTTCAGACTGTGGGAGAGAGCGCCCCCTGTCAGCTGCTCCTGTGTCACTACACCGAGCTGCAGCACAAAGGCCTGGTGTTGATGACGGCGGAGAGGGACACCGCTGCCATGGTAACGGTAGACGCCGATAGAAGAGACGTTTTGATTGGACACGACAGAAGAGCTGTTCTGTTTCATGTGTTTCAGGGCGTGCACGAGGCTCAGTGTTTGGCCAATCAGGTGCAGCTCTTCTACGGCTCTAGTGACGCTGCCTTCCGATTGGTCGAAGCGTTTAACCACGAACCAGAGACTTTCCAGCACATGGACGTGATCGCGGCACTGGACCGAGGACTGAACTAGGACTCGGACCGGTCTTTGGACTACAGAGGTCTATAAAGTGTGTAAATACTGTGTCATATTATGTTTATTTATATAAAAAAGACAAAACCAAATGTGTTTGTTTTATTGAAATGAAGAAAAGACAAACGAGGCGAGGTCTGAGGCCGTGTTCAGCCACAGAAGACTTTGTTTTATTTGTTAAAGTTTTATAGTTTGTTTTCTACAGCGACTCTTCAGCTTCAGAGCAACATCTGTGAGAATGAGTTCAACTTTAACCACAGTTGCTTCAAAGTCTCAAAGATCCAGAATAACTTTCTTCACTTTGAGACTTAACGTTTACAAACTTCCCTTTATTAAAAGTACGAAAGATATAAAATGTTTCCGCAGCAACAGGAAAATAAAACTAAAGAAAACAGTGGAAATGACCTCGGCCTGGTCTGAAAACACTAATGATAATAATAATAATAATCATGATGCATTGGTTTCATGTTGTGCTTTTCAGGACACTCGCAGGCGCTTCACGTGTCGTCATTCACTTCATACACAGTGGTGATAAACTTCTACCGTAGCCACAGCTGCCCTGGGGCTACCGGGAGAAGGGGGCGGGGCTAGTTTCTGTAACTGTTTTAACTTCCACATTGTGTCCTCTGTCTTCTTTATCTCCTGTATTTCTTGTACGTGTTTCATTTTAATACCACTGTTTTATTGCTTTAATCTTGTAAACTTTGCTCCTCACGATCCAAACCAGAAGTCACTAAAACGTTACCGTGGCGCCCCCTGCAGGTGAATCAGGAAACAGGTGAAAGCGTGATCCCGTCAGACCCAAAATACTGAAAACATGACCTAAAATGTATCGTGTATAGCATTCTGTTACTTTTGGAAAAGCAGTACCTGTAATCTGATTACTTATACTTTTAATTATTAATTTCATTGATTGTAAATAAATGTTGTTCATCACATGTGTAACGGGCGAAGTGGCAGTGAAGGACGAGAGGAGCGAGTGTCTTCAGGTTGAGTATGTAGAGACTTCAGAACATTACCCATACTTTTTTACTTTTAAAACATGTGAGAAAGTCTGTATTCCTATCATTTTCAGAAAGTAACTAAATACTAGACGTTAAAGTAACTAATTCTCTGGAACAGTCTGAGGAGGAGCTCAGTGCCGCAGAGAACGTTCATATTTTTAAGAGTAGGCTAAAGACGCACCTTTTTAGATTAGCTTTTGATTAGTATTTATTATTGCTTTTTAGTACATCTATTTATGTTTTTAGACACATTCTATTTTTTATTATTGTTTATTATTTATTGTATCTACCCATTTACTATTGTTATTATCAATATTTTTCTTTTTAGTGTCTCATTTTATTGTTCTACTTTCTATTGTATTATTGTATTGTTTTAGTTTCCCCAGTGTTTCCTCTGGAGGAGCCCTCTGCACTGGGAGCTGGGGTCTACTGTGGCTTCGGGGGTCTGGGGCCTCCTCTCTCCTCTGGGTCCTATGGGGTCTGAGTCCTGGGCCTGGTGGGGTCTGGGGCCCCTCTCTCCTCCTCCTATATATTAATGGACAGAGTCACGCCTATCTCCGCCGTTCTAACTAATGGGCCAAAAAATGTGCTCTACTGGAGCAATCCAAAATGGCCGCGAGCGGTCCCGCCCACAAGAAAATTGTGAAAAAACGCATCTGCGCATGTGTCAGCCGGCGCAGCTCCATTCATTTCAGATTCAGATTCAGATTCATTTATTTGCCATTTGCAGTAAAACCACATTGGAAAAACTGTGCAAGACTACCCCGGTGTGCACCAGACAGAGGAGACGACACACACCAGAGCTCTTGCCACGGCGCCATCTTTACGGCGCCATGCGACAAACAGTAGAATAAACAGCAGAGAGCAGTAACATACAGTATCACAGACAGTTGGATAGACACATTGGGCCTTGTATAAAGCACGGATTTTTTCTCGGGATGAAGCACCTCCTACAGCCGGCCCAATGTGGCTGTCAGAGGGGGGCGGGGTCAGGGAGGGGGTGAGTCGGAAACACAGTGAGGAGTGGAGGGGAGGGAGGGAGCAAGATGGATAGAGAGGGAGGCGGGATCCGAGCTGGAGACTGAATAGTGTGAGATTGTTGTAGATGGGATCTTTGTTATTATGGCCTTGGCCCGAGGAATGTGAGATAAGAGTGGAGAGAAGACACAGCAGGAGAAACACATCGCCTCAGGGGGACAATATTAAATGCAATGTCAGGCAGATATTCTATTAAATCCAATTAAACCGAATTGCGGCGCCCTCAGACCCCGTACACAGGGGCAGATCCAAGCCGGGTCAGAGAGTTCATCCTGACACACAATGTCATTCAATCTCAATTCCAGAGTCTTATGTCCATCGAGTGAACGAGCTGCGAGATCTTTTATCAACTGTTCCACCAAAACCACTCTGTCTCTGTCTCTGTCCAGACACGGCACTTTCAACCACGACGCGGCTAAGCTCCTTGTACATCCCATCAATTTTGTCGGCCAGCAGGTCGTGAATCTTGCGAACTGCCATGCCTCCGAATTTGTGGTAGAAGAGAACAGCTCCAAAGCCAAACAGGAGGATCCCCACCACCAAAATGCCAAAGATATATACGTCTTCCGAATCTTCAATGGACAGGGTCGACAGACAGAGGGGCTGAAACTTGTTCCAGCTGTCAAGAGTATACCCCGCAGGTGAGGTCCCGTCTGGGCACACGGGCTCTCCAGACCCACGCTTACGTGTTGAAAAGATAGAATCAATTGCGTTGAGGGACCAGTTAATCATTTCCATTCTTGTTAAAGTTGTCTGTGGAAGTCTCTCTTTGAACGAGAGACTTCAAAAAATCACAGCGACTAAACTAGAGTGGACCAAATTACCCCCCTCAGCATTGACACACATGTGGAACGGAGCTTTGGGCCAAGAGCCAACTTTTGGACCATCCTGTAAAGACGTTTTTGAGAGGTCTGCCAATGCTATATGTTAGCATTGGCTAATTCTACTTCTGGGTCCACCCCCACAGGCCCGGGGTGGTATTGCAGCATGTCAGCGCACGTCATTTTGGCCACTTTTGAGCTGGGACCCGCCCCCACTGGTCGTTCCCTGTGGCTGCGGGCGGCTCTCTGCTCCTGGTGCAGACTGCTCCTTGGATGGCGCTTCTTCAGCCGGTTACATCTGCTCCCAGCCCCATTTCTTTTTATTGTTTTACCTATTTTACCAGATGCGACTTTATAAGTGTGTGCGTGTGTGTGTGCGTGCGTGTGGTTGTATATATAATTATAAATGTGGTTTTGGGGGGGTCTGTGGGGAGGATGGTTTAGGGCTGGGCATGTTGGATTGTTTTTAACTAAACTGTAAAGCACTTTGTGTTACATTTTTTGTATGAAAAGCGCTTTATAAATAAAATTTGATTGATTAATGGAATACAGTTACTCCCAACTCTGATCCTGGTTTTATTAAAGTAAAAAGTACAAAGCAAATAATCAGTTTGTTTTATTGGAACATTGTTCACTTTTACAAACTTTCCTTCATTAAAAAATACAGAAGTTAGAAACGTTACCGTGGCAATAAATAAAAATAAGGGGGAACACATACTTTCTAACATCAAACCGGAAAAGCTGGTGGAGTCCTGGTTTAGACCTGGTTCAGTCCTGGTTCAGTCCTGGTTCAGTCCTGGTTCAGTCCTGGTTCAGTCCTGGTTCAGTCCTGGTTCAGTCCTGGTTCAGTCCTGGTTCAGTCCTGGTTCAGTCCTGGTTCAGTGGGACTCCTTCAGGAAACCTCTGCACTAGATCTTCCACTTCAATCACCTCCTGGACCAGGTCCCGGTTCTCCATGATGCAGCCCATAGGTCTGTCCACAGGGGGGTCCTCCTGCTGCTGCTCCTCTTGCTGCTCTTCCTCCTTCTCCTGCTGCTGCTCCTCTTGCTGCTCTTCCTCCTTCTCCTGCGTCTGCTCCTCTTCAGCCTGTAGGTGGCACTGCTCCTCGCTGTCAGATGGACAGTGGACACAGATCTTTAAGTTTTTCCTGGACCTTGTTATGGGTTATTGTGGTCATGTAGAGGAAAGGGAGACCAGTGGCACAAAGAGAATAGGGAGACAAGAGAGAGACCAGGGATATCAGAGAGCGACCAGAGGGAGAGACCAGGGAGACTAGAGAAAGAGAGACCAAAGGGACAAAGAGAAAGACTAGAGATACCAGCGAGACGAGCGATAGAGACCAGAGGGAGAGACCAGAGAGTCCAGAGAAACACCATTAACAAGAAGTGTGTAATCTCTTCTCTAGTCTCACACACACCTCTCTGGCTCCGCCCTGCTCCTCTCTGATTGGTCGGCCTCTTCCTCCGAGCTGAGCTGTGATTGGCTGTTTTCCTCCAGGTTGTCAGATGTGGTGGAGCCTTCCTCGTCACTGTCGCTGTCACCACCAGAGGGCGCCGCGGCCACCACTTCAGCCATGATGTTTTCCACCATTTTGTCCTGAAGTCGACTTTCTGCGCTCCGCTCCTGTTTCGCCGTCGGGTCCGTGACGTGGTGTGAAGTTTCCGTGACTATTGTCTCTGCCGCATGTTCTTCCATTTTGTTTTTTGCAGATTTTACTTGAGTTTCACTTCCTGTTTCTTCTAAAACATCGCCGACCTGCTCCTCCACCTGCCCCGCGTCAGTGTCACTTTGAGGATTTGAGTTGCTTTCCACTTCAGTGTCCATCTTCTCTCCGCCGGCGTCCATCTTGTCTCCGCCGGCGTCCATCTTGTCCTCGCCGGCGTCCATCTTGTCCTCGCCGGCGTCCATCTTGTCCTCGCCGGCATCCATCTTGTCCTCGCCGGCGTCCATCTTGTCTCCACCGGCGTCCACAGTTTGTGTGACTCCCGATTCAGTTATGGGCTTGACCTCGATTAAGGGTGTGGTCTCAGTGGTGGGCGTGGTCTCAGTGGTGGGCGTGCTCGCCTTTGATGGTGTGATCTCAGTGGTGGGCGTGGTCTCGGTGGTGGGCGTGCTCTCCTTTGATGGTGTGGTCTCAGTGGTGGGCGTGGTCTCAGTGGTGGGCGTGCTCGCCTTTGATGGTGTGGTCTCAGTGGTGGGCGTGGTCTCAGTGGTGGGCATGATCTCAATTAAGGGCGTGGTCTCAGTGATGGGCGTGGTCTCGGTGGTGGGCGTGCTCTCCTTTGATGGTGTGGTCTCAGTGGTGGGCGTGGTCTCAGTGGTGGGCATGATCTCAATTAAGGGCGTGGTCTCAGTGATGGGCGTGGTCTCCGTGGTGGGCGTGGTCTCCTTTGATGGTGTGGTCTCAGTGGTGGGCATGATCTCAATTAAGGGCGTGGTCTCAGTGATGGGCGTGGTCTCCATTGGGGCAGTGGTCTCAGTGGGGGTTGTGGTCTCCTTTGAGGGCGTGGTCTGTGTGGTGATCGTGGGCTCAGTGATGGCTGTGGTCTTTGTTGGGGGCGTGGTCTCAGTGATGGGCGTGGTCTCCGTGGTGGGCGTGGTCTCTTGACTGAAGACGCTGGGTGATGATGCGAGCGAGGAGGCGGGGCTTGACGGAGCAGACGACAGGAGGTCTCTGCTGTCCCTGAATAAGTGATGCTTCTGTAACGTGTCGGCTTCTTTCAGAACTGAAACCACAGATTAGACGAACGTTAGATTCTGCCCCAGGGCGGCTGCGGCTACCGCCAAGTACAGCGTGTGACCCTGACCTTTGGAGATCTCACTGCGGAGGACGCTCAGGAGAACATCTTCATAAACATTTTCTATCTGGACAAATTCGCTGTGTTCGGGAAGCACCAGGTCCGACAGGTCCGGGATCTGGAACACAAGAGGACCAGAACCAGGTCTAGAGCACAGAGGACCCAAAACCACTTCCTGTTTGCGGGTCTCCTGCAGCTGCTCAACCTGTGAGTCAGTACCTGTTTGTTGGTCAGAACCTGATTGCGGGCCAGTACCTGTGAGTCAGTACCTGTGTGTCAGTATCTGTGAGTCAGTACCTGTTGGTCAGTACCTGTGGGTCAGCACCTGTGAGTCAGTACCTGTGAGTCAGTACCTGTGGGTCAGCACCTGTGAGTCAGTACCTGTGTGTCAGTACCTGTGTGTCAGTACCTGTGTGTCAGTACCTGTGAGTCAGTACCTGTGGGTCAGCACCTGTGAGTCAGTACCTGTATGTCAGTACCTGTGAGTCAGTACCTGTGGGTCAGTGCCTGTGTGTCAGTGCCTGTGAGTCAATACCTGTTTGTTGGTCAGAACCTGTTTGCGGGCCAGTACCTGTGAGTCAGTACCTGTGTGTCAGTACCTGTGTGTCAGTACCTGTGGGTCAGCACCTGTGAGTCAGTACCTGTATGTCAGTACCTGTGAGTCAGTACCTGTGGGTCAGTGCCTGTGTGTCAGTGCCTGTGAGTCAGTACCTGTGGGTCAGTACCTGTGAGTCAGTGCCTGTGAGTCAGTACCTGTGAGTCAGTGCCTGTGTGTCAGTACCTGTGAGTCAGTGCCTGTGTGTCAGTACCTGTGTGTCAGTGCCTGTGTGTCAGTACCTGTGAGTCAGTACCTGTGAGTCAGTACCTGTGTGTCAGTGCCTGTGAGTCAGTCCCTGTGAGTCAGTGCCTGTGTGTCAGTACCTGTGGGTCAGCACCTGCATGTCAGTACTTGTATGTCAGTACCTGTGTCAGTACCTGTGAGTCAGTACCTGTGGGTCAGTGCCTGTGTGTCAGTGCCTGTGAGTCAGTACCTGTGGGTCAGTACCTGTGAGTCAGTGCCTGTGAGTCAGTACCTGTGAGTCAGTGCCTGTGTGTCAGTACCTGTGAGTCAGTGCCTGTGTGTCAGTACCTGTGTGTCAGTATCTGTGAGTCAGTACCTGTGAGTCAGTACCTGTGTGTCAGTACCTGTGAGTCAGTACCTGTGAGTCAGTACCTGTGTGTCAGTACCTGTGAGTCAGTACCTGTGTGTCAGTACCTGTGTGTCAGTACCTGTGAGTCAGTACCTGTGAGTCAGTACCTGTGTGTCAGTACCTGTGAGTCAGTACTTGTGAGTCAGTACCTGTGAGTCAGTACCTGTGTGTCAGTACCTGTGAGTCAGTACCTGTGAGTCAGTACTTGTATGTCAGTACCTGTGTGTCAGTGCCTGTGTGTCAGTACCTGTGTGTCAGTACCTGTGTGTCAGTGCCTGTGTGTCAGTACCTGTGAGTCAGTTCCTGTGTGTCAGTACCTGTGTGTCAGTACCTGTGAGTCAGTACCTGTGAGTCAGTACCTGTGTGTTGGTACCTGTGAGTCAGTACCTGTGGGTCAGTAACTGTGTGTCAGTACCTGTGTGTCAGTACCTGTGTGTCAGTACCTGTGAGTCAGTACCTGTGAGTCAGTACCTGTGTGTCAGTCCCTGTGAGTCAGTACCTGTGTGTCAGTACCTGTGAGTCAGTACCTGTGAGTCAGTACCTGTGGGTCAGTCCCTGTGAGTCAGTACCTGTGTGTCAGTACCTGTGTGTCAGTACCTGTGTGTCAGTGCCTGTGAGTCAGTCCCTGTGAGTCAGTGCCTGTGTGTCAGTACCTGTGGGTCAGCACCTGTATGTCAGTACTTGTATGTCAGTACCTGTGTGTCAGTACCTGTGAGTCAGTACCTGTGGGTCAGTGCCTGTGTGTCAGTGCCTGTGAGTCAGTACCTGTGGGTCAGTACCTGTGTGTCAGTACCTGTGTGTCAGTACCTGTGAGTCAGTACCTGTGAGTCAGTACCTGTGTGTCAGTACCTGTGAGTCAGTACCTGTGAGTCAGTACCTGTGTGTCAGTACCTGTGAGTCAGTCCCTGTGAGTCAGTACCTGTGTGTCAGTACCTGTGTGTCAGTACTTGTGAGTCAGTCCCTGTGAGTCAGTACCTGTGAGTCAGTACCTGTGTGTCAGTACCTGTGAGTCAGTCCCTGTGAGTCAGTACCTGTGTGTCAGTACCTGTGAGTCAGTCCCTGTGAGTCAGTACCTGTGTGTCAGTACCTGTGAGTCAGTACCTGTGAGTCAGTACCTGTGTGTCAGTACCTGTGAGACAGTCCCTGTGAGTCAGTACCTGTGTGTCAGTACCTGTGAGTCAGTCCCTGTGAGTCAGTACCTGTGTGTCAGTCCCTGTGAGTCAGTACCTGTGTGTCAGTACCTGTGAGTCAGTCTCTGTGAGTCAGTACCTGTGTGTCAGTACCTGTGAGTCAGTCCCTGTGAGTCAGTACCTGTGTGTCAGTACCTGTGAGTCAGTACCTGTGAGTCAGTACCTGTGGGTCAGTCCCTGTGAGTCAGTACCTGTGGGTCAGTAACTGTGTGTCAGTACCTGTGTGTCAGTACCTGTGTGTCAGTACCTGTGAGTCAGTCCCTGTGAGTCAGTACCTGTGAGTCAGTACCTGTGTGTCAGTACCTGTGAGTCAGTACCTGTGAGTCAGTACCTGTGAGTCAGTACCTGTGTGTCAGTACCTGTGAGTCAGTACCTGTGAGTCAGTACCTGTGTGTCAGTACTTGTGAGTCAGTCCCTGTGAGTCAGTACCTGTGAGTCAGTACCTGTGTGTCAGTACCTGTGAGTCAGTCCCTGTGAGTCAGTACCTGTGTGTCAGTACCTGTGAGTCAGTCCCTGTGAGTCAGTACCTGTGTGTCAGTACCTGTGAGTCAGTACCTGTGAGTCAGTACCTGTGTGTCAGTACCTGTGAGACAGTCCCTGTGAGTCAGTACCTGTGTGTCAGTACCTGTGAGTCAGTCCCTGTGAGTCAGTACCTGTGTGTCAGTACCTGTGAGTCAGTACCTGTGAGTCAGTACCTGTGTGTCAGTACCTGTGAGACAGTCCCTGTGAGTCAGTACCTGTGTGTCAGTACCTGTGAGTCAGTCCCTGTGAGTCAGTACCTGTGTGTCAGTCCCTGTGAGTCAGTACCTGTGTGTCAGTACCTGTGAGTCAGTCTCTGTGAGTCAGTACCTGTGTGTCAGTACCTGTGAGTCAGTCCCTGTGAGTCAGTACCTGTGTGTCAGTACCTGTGAGTCAGTACCTGTGAGTCAGTACCTGTGGGTCAGTCCCTGTGAGTCAGTACCTGTGGGTCAGTAACTGTGTGTCAGTACCTGTGTGTCAGTACCTGTGTGTCAGTACCTGTGAGTCAGTCCCTGTGAGTCAGTACCTGTGAGTCAGTACCTGTGTGTCAGTACCTGTGAGTCAGTACCTGTGAGTCAGTACCTGTGAGTCAGTACCTGTGTGTCAGTACCTGTGAGTCAGTACCTGTGAGTCAGTACCTGTGAGTCAGTACCTGTGAGTCAGTACCTGTGTGTGGGTCTGCTGCAGCTGGTGTTTGATGAAGGGCAGAGTGATCCGCAGCAGGGCGTCCTCGCAGCTCCTCTTCCTCACTGAGCTGCTGTCGTAGTCAAAGTTCTGGAACGAGAAAAATTTGACGACTCCACTTCCAGGGCTTTCTGTGTGGAGTTTGCATGTTCTCCCCGTGTCTGCATGGGTCAGAACGCTGCCCTCTGATTGGTCAGAACGCTGCCCTCTGTGCACGTGCATGAGAGCCACGCACCCGTATTTGGTACAAAGCATCATGGGAGCTCGTCCATTGCACAGAACTAAGAGGACCAGACGATGCCCAAATATGGGCAAGTTCCGCTAATCTTTCGGTGCCCATGGTGAGGCGCTACTGAGCACAAAGAATTGGATCACTGGGGCCTGGTCTGGACCATAGACTGTATATATTAATGGACAGAGTCACGCCTATCTCCGCCGTTCTAACTAATGCGCCAAAAAATGTGCTCTAATGGAGCAATCCAAAATGGCCGCGAGTGGTCCCGCCCACAAGACAATTGTGAAAAAATGCATCTGCGCATGTGTCAGCCGGAGAGAGCTCCATTCATTTGAACGAGAGACTTCAAAAATTCACAGCAACTAAACTAGACTGGACCAGAACACTCCCTCAGCATTGACACACATGTGGAACGGAGCTTTGGGCCAAGAGACAACTTTTGGTCCATCCTGTAAAGACGTTTTTGAGAAGTCTGCCAACGCTATATGTTAGCATTGGCTAATTCTACTTCTGGGTCCACCCCCACAGGCCCGGGGTGGTACTGCAGCATGTCGGCGCACGTCATTTTGGACACTTTTGAGCCGAAACCCGTCCCCACTGGTCTGGACTCACCCGCAGGACCCGGTGCTGGGCCTTCTCTAAGTTTGGGACTGCACCCTCTTCTGTTTCCTCCAGAGTTTTCTTCAAGAGAATCTCAAACGTGTGAAGAGCGTTTTCCATCAACTGAAACAGACCCAGAGTGATGTCACATCACACACACTCAAGACCGGCCCCAGTTTGGCCTCGTAACTTCAATTCAATGAAATTGTGTACTGTCCTGATCAGTCCAGGTCAGTCCAGGTCAGTCCAGGTCAGTCCTAGTCAGTCCTAGTCAGTCCCGGTCAGTCCCGGTCAGTCCCGGTCAGTCCTAGTCAGTCCCGGTCAGTCCCGGTCAGTCCCGGTCAGTCCCGGTCAGTCCCGGTCAGTCCTAGTCAGTCCTAGTCAGTCCCGGTCAGTCCCGGTCAGTCCCGGTCAGTCCTAGTCAGTCCTGGTCAGTTCTGGTCAGTCCTGGTCAGTCCTGGTCAGTCCTGGTCAGTCCTGGTACCTGCTGCAGCTGGACCTGAGCTCTGTGGACGATTCCGCTCTCGTCCTTGAATCCAAAGGTTTCTCTGAGATGAAGATTGTTCTGAAGAGACGCCATCGTTTTATAACTGTCCTCAAGAGGAGGACAGGACAGAGACACCTGCAGAGGACAGAGTGATGAAGAGGAGGTCAGAGACTGATGAAGAGGAGGACACAGTGATGAAGAGGAGGACACGGTGATGAAGAGGAGGACACGGTGATGAAGAGGAGGACACGGTGATGAAGAGGAGGACACAGTGATGAAGAGGAGGACACAGTGATGAAGAGGAGAACACAGTGATGAAGAGGAGGACACAGTGATGAAGAGGAGGACACAGTGATGAAGAGGAGAACACAGTGATGAAGAGGAGGACACAGTGATGAAGAGGAGAACACAGTGATGAAGAGGAGGACACGGTGATGAAGAGGAGGACACGGTGATGAAGAGGAGAACACAGTGATGAAGAGGAGAACACAGTGATGAAGAGGAGGACACGGTGATGAAGAGGAGGACACGGTGATGAAGAGGAGGACACGGTGATGAAGAGGAGAACACAGTGATGAAGAGGAGGACACGGTGATGAAGAGGAGGACACGGTGATGAAGAGGAGGACACAGTGATGAAGAGGAGGACACGGTGATGAAGAGGAGGACACGGTGATGAAGAGGAGGACACAGTGATGAAGAGGAGTACACAGTGATGAAGAGTCTGGGACCTTGGCGTCGCTGGTCATCACGTCCTGCGCCGCTCGCTCCATGGTCTCCTCACAAACGTCCCGTCCTTGTCTGAAGCCTCTGCTGATCGACCCCATCACATGGTCCAGGACCGAGGCCAGGTGCGGCTGGACCTTCTGAGAGACCAGGACCTCCAGGGGACCAGAAACCAGACCTGGACCGGGAACAGACAGGCCTTTAAACAGGTGAGGTCTGGAGACGGCTGCACAGGGCCCTAGTAAAGCCGGTCTCCCACTCTGGTCTCCCACTCTGGTCTCCCACTCTGGTCTCCCACTCTGGTCTCCCACTCTGGTCTCCCACTCTGGTCTCCCACTCTGGTCTCCCACTCTGGTCTCCCACTCTGGTCTCCCACTCTGGTCTCCCACTCTGGTCTCCCACTCTGGTCTCCCACTCTGATCTATCTCTGTGGTCTTTTTCTGGTCTCTCTCTCTGGTCTCTCTCTGGTCCCTCTTTCTGGTCTCTCACTGGTTTTTCTCTAGTCCCTCTATCTGGTCTCTCCCCCTAGTCCCCCCCCCCTCTTGTCTCTGGTCTGGTCTCTGGTCTGGTCTCTGGTCTGGTCTCTGGTCTCTGGTCTGGTCTCTAGTGTGATGTCTCTGGTCAGACCTCGGACCCGCTGCTCCATCTGGTCTCTGCTGGTCCGGATCTGGTCCATGTCTGAGTGGATCATCACGTCCTTCTGTCTCGAACTGTTCTTCATCTGCTCCTTCAGCAGCGACAGGCCATCGAGGAGCACCTTCTGGACCAGGATGTAGACCTCCTCCACTGTCTGAGAGGAGGGAGGGGAGGAAGAGGAGGAGGAGGAGGGTGAAGAGAGGAGAAAGAGAGGGGAGAAGAGAGAGAGGAGTGAGGAGGGAGGGAGGGAGAAGAGAGGAGAGAGAGGAGTGAGGAGAGGGAGGGGAGAAAAAGAGAGAGAGAGAGAGAGGAGAGAGAGAGAGAGAGAGAGAGAGGGGAGAAGAGAGAGAGGAGGAGGAGAGGGAGAGAGAGAGAGAGAGAGGAGAGAGGGAGGAGGAGGAGGAGAGAGAGAGAGAGAGAGAGAGGAGAGGGAGAGAGAGGAGAGAGGAGAGGAGAGGAGAGAGAGGGAGGAGGAGAGAGAGGGGAGAGAGAGAGAGGAGGAGGAGGAGGGAGAGAGAGAGAGAGAGAGGGGGGAGAGGAGAGGAGAGGGGAGGAGGAGAAAGAGAGGGGAGAAGAGAGAGAGGAGTGAGGAGGGAGGGAGGGAGAAGAGAGGAGAGGAGAGAGAGGGGAGAAGAGAGGAGAGGGGAGGAGGAGAAGAGAGAGGAGAAAGAGAGGGGAGAAGAGAGAGAGGAGAGAGAGAGGAGAAGAGAGGAGAGGGGAGAAGAGAGAGAGGAGAAGAGAGGAGAGGGGAGGAGGAGAGGAGAGAGATCAGCAGGAGACATCAAAGGTCAGGTTTGGTCAGATGTATGTACTGGTCTTTATGGTCTCTGGTCTCAATGGTATCTGGTGTCCATGGTCTCTGGTCTCCATGGTGTCTGGTCAGATGTACTGTATGTACTGGTCTTCATGGTCTCATGGTCTCCACGGTCTCTGGTCTCCATGGTCTCTGGTCTTCATGGTCTCTGGTCTTCATGGTCTCTGGTCTTCATGGTCTCTGGTCTTCATGGTCTCTGGTCTTCATGGTCTCTGGTCTTCATGGTATCTGGTCCTCATGGTCTCTGGTCTACATGGTCCTTGAGTCTGGTCAGATGTATGTACTGGTCTTCATGGTCTCTGATTTCCATGGTCTCTGGTCTTCATAGTCTCTGGTCTTCATGGTCTCTGGTCTTCATGGTCTCTGGTCTCCATGGTCTCTGGTCTCCATGGTCTCTGGTCTTCATGGTCTCTGGTCTCCATGGTCTCTGGTCTCCATGGTCTCTGGTCTTCATGGTCTCTGGTCTCCATGGTCTCTGGTCTTCATGGTATCACACAAAGAGTCTCACCGCGAACCACAGACGTTTCTTTTCGTTCTTGCGGGTCTTCAGCTTCGGGAGCAGGTCTTTCTCCAGAGTCGGCAGCAATCGAACCATCACCACGTTGGACAGAACCTGAGACCAGGTGGAGAGGTCAGGGGTCAGAAGAACATTTGGAATGTCTGCTGTCTTCGCCTATGGTCCAATCACTCTATGCTAACCCGCTAGCTCTATGCTAACCCACTAGCTCAATGTATTGGCTTTGGGTAAAACAGCTGGAAGCCCGACACCAGAGAGATTCCACAGTCCAAGACAGAGACGCCAATAGTAGCAGTAATAGAATCAGATGCAGCAGTACCAGTACCAGTACCAGTACCAGTACCAGTACCAGTACCAGTAGCAGTAGCAGTTGGAGTAGTGATAAAATGTCGGCGACAGTAGCTCAGTTGGTAGAGCATTGGCCTTTGAGCCAGAGGGTCGTGGGTTCGAGCCCGACTTTCAACATCGACTCTGACTGTCTGCTGTCGTTGTGTCCTTAGGCAAGACACTTCACCCCCATTGCCTAGAATGAGTCTGGTGTGTGTGTGAGTGGTTGGTGGTGGTGGGAGGGGCTGATGGCACAGACTGGTTGCCTCGCTTCTGTCAGTGTGCCCCAGGGCAGCTGTGGCTACAGTAGTAGTTTATCACCACTGTGTATGGAGTGTAAGAATAATTACATGTAAAGAGTCTTTGAGTGTCCAAAAAAGCGCTATATAAAACCGATGCATTATTATTATTATTATTAATAGTAGTAGTATAAGTATTCGTAGTAGCAGTACTTACGCGCACATCACTGCCCTGCATCTTCTCCCAGCTCTCGTAGTGTCCTTCAGATTCTCTGTAAAACTGAACGGCTTTGATGAAAGACTTCACCTCACAGGAGTCCTGCTGGAGGAAATCTGAGACACACACAGTTGTGAAGTAGCAGTAGTAGAAGTAGCAGCATTAGTAGTAGCAGTAGTAGTAGTAGTAGTAGTAGTACCTATGTTCTGGTGGTGGATGCTCTTTCTGAGCGCGCTCAGAAACGCTTCTTGTCGTTGTTGTTGTTTGAAGCAGAAGTACGAGTCCCGTCGATACGGTAACCGCAGGTAAACAGGAAACGGCCCCGGTAACGAGGCCCCTGGGGGCCCGAACTCCTCCTTCACATCTGCGCACAGAGTCAGGGAGGGGCCCAGATTACACCCACACAAAGACAGCAGATACACTATACTACTGTACTATACTACTGCACTATACTACTGCACTATACTACTGCACTATACTACTGCACTATACTACTGCACTATACTACTGTACTATACTACTGCACTATACTACTGCACTATACTACTGCACTATACTACTGCACTATACTACTGCACTATACTACTGCACTATACTACTGTACTATACTACTGCACTATACTACTGCACTATACTACTGCACTATACTACTGCACTATACTACTGCACTATACTACTGTACTATACTACTGCACTATACTACTGCACTATACTACTGTACTATACTACTGCACTGTGGTCTCTCTGGTCTCTCTCTCTGGTCTCTCTCTCTGGTCTCTCTCTCTGGTCTTTCTCTCTGGTCTCTCTCTCTGGTCTCTCTCTCTGGTCTCTCTCTCTGGTCTCTCTCTCTGGTCTCTCTCTGGTCTCTCTCTCTGGTCTCTCTCTCTGGTCTCTCCCTCTGGTCTCTCTCTCTGGTCTCTCCCTCTGGTCTCTCTCTCTGGTCTCTCTCTCTGGTCTCTCTCTCTGGTCTCTCTCTCTGGTCTCTCTCTCTGGTCTCTCTCTCTGGTCTCTCTCTGGTCTCTCTCTCTGGTCTCTCTCTCTGGTCTCTCTCTCTGGTCTCTCTCTCTGGTCTCTCTCTCTGGTCTCTCTCTGGTCTCTCTCTGGTCTCTCTCTCTGGTCTCTCTCTCTGGTCTCTCTCTCTGGTCTCTCTCTGGGCTAGAGGGCCCCCTGCCCTCTGATAGACCAGGGCCCCTGACTCACTGCTAGCGTCGGGGTAGCTCAGATCTACCAGCTTCATGTAGCTCTCCTCTGTGGTGAACACGGCGCCCCCTGTGGGCAGCAGTCTGTACAGCGGAGGGTCGCCATTAATGTACGTCTGAAAACACAGGAAATAATGTTATAGTGTGCGTGTGTATACGTGTGTGTATCTCTGTGTGTGTCTAGGTGTATCTGTGTGTGAGTGTATCTGTATGTGTGTATGCATGTGTGTGTGTCTGTGTGAGTGTATGTGTGTGTCTGTGTGTGTGTGTGTGTATGTATGTGTGTGTGTCTGTGTACCTCTAGATCTTTGTACAGCTCCAGACTGTAGCTCGCCCTCGTCACCACGTATCTCTCTCTCCATTTTCGTGTTTCGTCAAAATAAAACAGAGCGTCCTCATAAAGCACTTCTGCACTAGCGGAGGGCGCCTGGACCAACACACACACACACAGACACACAAACAGAGACCACACACAGAACACACACACACACACACACAAACAGAGACCACACACAGAACACACACACACACAGACACACAAACAGAGACAACACACAGAACACACACACACACACACACACAGAGAGACCACACACAGGACACACAGACAGTAGTGCATATAAGTACTGGTATTTGCAGCAGTAGTAGTAGTATTTGCAGTAGTAGTAGTACTCTCAGGTTAGTACTAACCTTCTGGCTCAGTCGTCTCCTCGGCTCCTGCTTCTGTTCCACTTCACTCTGAGCCTGAAGGAACCGAGCCTCAGAAAACTGGGACTGAAAGAACGGAGAAAACCTGTGTAGCTCTGCCTCCGCCTCACCTGGAACACAGCCCTGCCCACAGGTGAGTATGCTCCGCCCACAGGTGAGTATGCTCCGCCCACAGGTGAGTATGCTCCGCCCACAGGTGAGTATGCTCCACCCACAAGTGAGAAAGCCCCGCCCATAAGTAATAATAATATCGCATGAGTTTTATACAAATCTTTTCTGAACACTCAAATACACTTCACATGTTATATTTCTTTCACTACATCAACAAAGGTGATAAACTGCTACTGTAGCCACAGCTGCCCTGCGGCACACTGACAGAGGTGTAGCTTCAGAGGTCTGATAGGATCTGGCTTTAACCTGCAGGTACGGCTTGGTGAGTACGCCTGCCACCACAGGAGAAGAAGCCCAGCAGTTGGTCTGAAGATCCATGAGTTCTGAGGATCTGTCCGAGATCCCCACGGTCAGGGAGGGGACCGAGAACCCGACGGTCAGCGAGGAGACCGAGAACCCGACGGTCAGCGAGGGGACCGAGAACCCGACGGTCAGCGAGGAGACCGAGAACCCGACGGTCAGCGAGGGGACCGAGAACCCGACGGTCAGCGAGGAGACCGAGAACCCGACGGTCAGCGAGGGGACCGAGAACCCGACGGTCAGCGAGGGGACCGAGAACCCGACGGTCAGCGAGGAGACCGAGAACCCGACGGTCAGCGAGGAGACCGAGAACCCGACGGTCAGCGAGGAGACCGAGAACCCGACGGTCAGCGAGGAGACCGAGAACCCGACGGTCAGCGAGGAGACCGAGAACCCGACGGTCAGCGAGGGGACCGAGAACCCGACGGTCAGCGAGGAGACCGAGAACCCGACGGTCAGCGAGGAGACCGAGAACCCGACGGTCAGCGAGGAGACCGAGAACCCGACGGTCAGCGAGGAGACGAGAACCCGATGGTCAGCGAGGAGACCGAGAACCCGACGGTCAGCGAGGAGACCGAGAACCCGATGGTCAGCGAGGAGACCGAGAACCCGACGGTCAGCGAGGAGACCGAGAACCCTGGGGTCAGGGAGGAGACCGAGAACTCGACGTTCAGGGAGGAGACCGAGAAGAGACCATGAGGTCCCCTGCCCTGAAACAGTCCAGACTCATAAACCGAGCTCTTATCACTGAGATCTTATCTTCTGGCCCCTGGAAAAGCCATGTTCCAGCTTCTTTCCTCTGGCAGAACATATTGTTTGTGAAAATTCTGGGCCTGCTAACATGCTAACATGCTAGCGTGCTAACTGCTTATTTCAGCTGTTTTCAGTTTGAACAAAGACCTTTAATGATCTTCACTTGTGTTTAAACTGTTTCTGTCGATTGTTTTTCTCAGTGACAATTGTTTCTTGAACTTTTTATCCTGTTTTATTTACGCACTTGTCTGGTGCACCCTGGGGACCTTTGCAGATGTATTCCAATGTGGTTTTACTGTAAATGGCAAATAAAATGAATCTAGATCTGAACCAGGACAAGACCAGATTTGAGCGTGGACTGAACCAGGTCCAAAGCAGGACCACAGTCTGTGGTCTATTCAAATGGAGGTGGAGCTGATGCAAATGTTTGGAACTGAAGAGTCCTGGTGGTAAGGTGGGCCAGACGAGAGACCAAACCAGACTGGACCAAACCAGACTGGATCAATCAGGTATGGTCTGCCTTGGTTCCTCTCTGGTGCAGGAGGGTCTCGCTGCTCGTCCCGCTCCCTCTGGACCAATGGCTCTATCTTTACTCTGTTTCCTGTGTTTGAACTGTTCTTCTCTGATCTGTTGTTGGTGAATCGACAACTCTGTAAAGTCCTTTAAGACGACTGTGATGGAACCGGTGTGAAGACACGGCTCTAAACCTGTCAGACAGAATGTGAAGACTCGGAACAAAAACCTGTTAAACCAGAGAGCACACACACTTACATACATACATACATACACACATACAGACACACACACATACAGACACACACAGACACACACATACATACAAACACACACACATACAGACACACACACATACATACATACATACATACATACACACACACAGACACAGACACACATACAGACACACATACAGACACACAAACACAAAAAGTGAACTGGTGCAGTTTGATCTCAGTGTAATTATGGGATCATCACTGAATAAACACAAAACCAAGAATTAGACCTCAGGCTGGTTCATCAGAGCCAAAATGTCCTCCTACACAGCAGCAGGTCGGACAGGCGAGGCCACACCCCCTTCTCTGTGTTTACTACAAACATGTGTGAGTCATGACCGTGGTATGAGTACTGAAGTACACACACATGCAGTACAAGTACAGACCTGTCCACTCCTGCAGGACGTCACTACAACAATCAGGTTTGGAACAATCCAAGTTCCACTCATCTCCAGCAAATACAGTGGACTATGGGGGCAGCATCATGCTGTGGACCATGGGGGCAGCGTCATGCTGTGGACTATGGGGGCAGTGTCATGCTGTGGACCATGGGGTTAGCGTAATGCTGTGGACCATGGGGGCAGCGTCATGCTGTGGACCATGGGGGCAGCGTCACGCTGTGGACCATGGGGGTAGTCCGCTGCTGTGAACCATGGGGGCAGCATCATGCTGTGGACTACGGGGGTAGCGTCATGCTGTGAACTATGGGGTCAGCGTCATGCTGTGGACTATGGGGGCAGCGTCATGCTGTGGACCATGGGGGCAGCGTCATGCTGTTGACCATGGGGATAGCATCATGCTGTGGACCATGGGGGCAGCGTCATGCTGTGGACCATGGGGGCAGCGTCATGCTGTGAACCATGGGGGCAGCGTCATGCTGTGGACCATGGGGACAGCGTCATGCTGTGAACCATGGGGGCAGCGTCATGCTGTGGACCATGGGGGCAGCGTCATGCTGTGGACCATGGGGGCAGCGTCATGCTGTGAACCATGGGGGCAGCGTCATGTTGTGGACCATGGGGGCAGCATCATGCTGTGGACCATGGGGGCAGCGTCACGCTGTGGACCATGGGGGCAGCGTCATGCTGTGGACTATGGGGGCAGCGTCATGCTGTGGACCATGGGGGCAGCATCATGCTGTGGACAATGGGGGCAGCATCACGCTGTGGACCATGGGGGCAGCGTCACTCTGTGGACCATGGGGGCAGCGTCACTCTGTGGACCTGGAGGAGGACCGAGGTCTGTCCTCCTGGAGGACACTGAGCAGGCGTGTCCTCCTGGAGTGATGTCCTCCTGGAGGACAATGAGGAGGTGTGAACTTTTACAGCTTTCTGTAGAAGTTTGAATATTTCCAGAGTGCACTCTGAACTGAACCAGTATTTGACCAAAACCAA